TTCTCAGTCACTGAACCATCTCACCAGCTTCTGCCTTGGTGTTGGAGACACTCATCCTGTAATCCAACAGACTGAGCCCACAATGATCCTTCTACCTCAGCCTCCTTAGTTCTGGAATTACAGGGGTGAGCCCCCATGCTTGATTTTAATATTTTTCTCCAGTCTGCCACTAAGCAAAGTGGCTTATTATTGCTACTAATAAACTAATACTATTGTGTTTATACAGGAAATACCCAAAATGACATCCTGGGAGCAGGGAAATCTGCTGGTTTCTATTCAGTACAAAGGCATTATTTGGCAAAATAGTAACATCAACAATCTTAGCATTACCATGCCATGCCAGGAAAGTCTTTCAAAGCATCTCACTTGAAGCCATTAGTCTCCCATGGGGTGTGTAAAACTGAAGTTTTAGTTTTAATAAAACTGGCTTTGTAGTTTACCCTTAATGAAGCATTACATGCATTTGATCTGTAAAGTGTCTAGAAATGTATAGTTAATTAGTATCTTATATTTATAAACAATCTAAAATATACTCTTCATCTACTTGATCGGAAGTAAGGGTAAGTCTGCTACAAGAAGAAAACCACAAACCAGCCATTTTCCTCAGAGGTCTGTTGCAACCTGGGGCTAGAGGTCAAAGACTAGATGGGTACTATCTGCCATCCAGTGAGCTGAATGGAGAAAGACCACTTAATAATAGAAGTGTATTTATCTGATTTAAATCACAGTGATTGATTTTCATTTAGCATGTGTCTAGTATTGTTAGCCTTGCTTGAAAAATCAATTTTAGTGTGACCCAACGGGAGAAGAGTTCCATGTATCTGTATTTATTTAGTGACAGGGACACATTCATGCTCTTCTGTGAACAACTATTAAATAAAAGGAGAGCTTGTAGTTTCTGGTTTTGCCACACTCGGGAGCAAATTGCAACCTACCAAAATGACTGTGGGAATAATCTAATACCATATATTAAATTCTCTTTCATTGAGGAAAAATCATTTTAAAATTGAGTTGTTATAAAAATAGAACACTAGCAGACAACTAGCTATAGGGATCTCTTAACTCTTCACCCTTTTTGCTTCCTTCCATATGCAACTATTTTCAACTTATTGTAAAGCCTACCAGCAGCAGAAAGAGGCCACTATAGAGCCAGGCTCGTGGCTTTGCAGCAGTCACTTGAACAGATTTCTGTGTAGCGTGAAGAATGCTTGCCATTTTTCAGGCTTATACATTCCCATAAAATGTTTATGTTTTTTCTTAAGCATGGTTAGCCTAGGAAATGTCTTATTGCTAAGTATATGTTGCTGTAAAAATATATTTGTTACTAGTAAGTTAGGTTTTGCCAACACAACTTCTCTTTGAAATCTCTTTCTGAGGGGTGATAGGCAGGATCCAGAGATCCCGTCCTGAGCAAAGTGGAAAAGACCTTCTTCATAGAGCTGTCTTGTATAGATTTTGATTAAAAAATAAATAAAAAGATGAGCTCATATACCCCAACATATTTGGGGGATCTTTTCAAACTCTACACATATGAAAAATCCAGAAATTAAGAAAATTGTGATACAGTGACACAAATCAAGGAGAGTGTAGAAATCCCACGCCCGTGGGCTCCTGTGAAGTAGCCTTTCCAACAAGCCTCCTCTCCGACTCACAGTCTTCTGCTCCCACCCAGACAACAGGTTGTGATTCCTGCACACACTGGCTATTGATCTCTCTTCTGCCCCTGCACATTCTCTTCTCTTGAGTCACAGAATTAAAAGTACGGATGAAAGCCGCAGTGAAAGAGGTTAAATCACACAACCACTGAGTCGATTTCGGATCAGTTATTCCTTACCCTGCAGCCTGTGAACTTCCTGTGGAATTCATTGCCACTCAGATACATCAAGTTTTATTCATTGATGCACACCTTTATATTGTGTTATTACTGACCATTCAAAGCTTCTGTGGGCTCTTTAGAGCCTATAAATTAAAGCCTAAACTGTTGGCATCAACAGGCTTTTGCATCTGCAGTAGCTTCTACATACAGCTTAAGTAAATGGATTAATAGAGTATTGCATCTCTATATTTCTCCTACGTTGTTGAGGAATGTAATAAATTAAATGAGTTGCAAAAGTAACTCATACCAAGCAAACAGCAATGCAAAGAAGAGCAGACAACTCAAAGTCGAATGTGTGACTCTAAATCTGCTGATAATTGATAATATCCAGTCCTCTGACTAAATCTTACTCCTGAAGTATAGGTCACTGCTATCAACTCAAGGCTCATGTGGAAAACCTACAATAGTTCCATACATTACATATTTTGCCACTGATATTTTTTTATCCAAACACATGGAAAACACAGAATATAATCCTAAAGTTTTATTTCAGAAGTTCTGAGCTTTATCTATTTTTAAAAGATTTTTCCCTTGAAGATTTATAAGTCATTTTTGGCAGACAAAAATACTCATAAGTAATACAAGTAGTTACAACTTTTCATTGAAAAGCAATACAGGATACTGTCATAGACTTAAGAGTAAAGAGAAGTTAATGGGAATTAAGAAAAAGGAGGGAGACAGGATTTATTTATTTCTTGTTTGTTTTTGTTTTATCGAGACAGGGTTTCTTTATGTAGCTTTAGTGCATGACCTGTAACTAGCTCTTGTAGAACAGGTTGGCCTCAAACAAAGAGAGATCCACCTGCTTCTGCCTCCTGAGTGCTGGGATTAAAGGCGTGCACCACCACTGCCCAGCTAGAGACAGGATTTTAAGAAGAGATGGGATAATTTGTTTTGCTTCAAATTGATAAGGACTGCATTAGTTAAAAATACATAATTTGTTGTGTATCACCTAAACAAAAATCATATGTTCCTATATCTTGAATTTTGTTTTGAGAAATAAAAATCCTTTGTTTCTTCATCTGCTTTATTCTTTCTCTCTCTCTCTCTCTCTCTCTCTCTCTCTCTCTCTCTCTCTCTCTCTCTCTCTCTCTCCCCCCTCACCATCCCTCCGCCCCTTCCTCCCTCCCTCCCTTCCTTCTTCCCTCCTTTCTCTGTTCCTTATTCTAGCTCTGCTTCTCATTCTTCTATGTCACGCCAGGCCTGACATCTCCCCTTCAGTGAAGTATTTTGTATTCAGGTAAACATGAAAGTAACATTATTCAGACTTATTGCTAAGCACTATCTAGAGATTTTATATGGATTTACTGTTACTTGTCCATCATTTCTGCTTGCTCACAGTAGCTGTCAAAAAGTGAAGGCCTGAACATTAACACAAGAAAATACTTGAAAGATACAAATGAAAATATTTATATCAAGCACTTGCATGTGTGCATGCATATATGCACACAAGCATGCATGTACGTGCATGCATTCACACACACACACATACACACACACCTCACTGCCTCTTCTTATAATTCTTATCTTGTAAAACAGTATGTGTTAGCAAAGTATGACAAATTAAGGGCTTAACATCAGTATTAATAACTCGGGTTTGAAATCCTTGGCAAATAATTAAGATTAATGACAGAAACCATCCCCTTTTCCCCAATGCAATGCTTGCTTTTACCTCTTCAAATCTTCCCCATCATCCCTTCCAAGTTCATTTCGGGCTGTGAAGACAGAGGTTCTGAAACTTTGATCCTCTTATCCGCTGCTTTTTGCAGCAGAGTTAGCAGAAAATACATGAGCAAATTTACAACCAGCAGCTCAGACAGCTGCCTTACTTAGCAGTTAATAGAAAAGGCACTAATCTAGTTAGGATCTAGGACTAGTTCATAAATCTGGATTCAGAGGACAGCTTAAGCCATCACAGTTTTTTTCCAGACAGTAGGATCCAAATAGATTGTCAGCTTTCTCGCCATGAAGAGCCAGTATTTCTGTAAAGTCGAACAATGAGACAGGGAGCTAACATAAGCTACATGCCAGCCAGCTGTGTGAGTGATGAGGCAATGTATGATTGACAAGAGCCACACAGTTTGGCAGGGACTGCTATGTACCTACAAGAATGCCCATCGCTTAAAACTTTTCTTGGATCCAATAGGAAGCAAAGATCAAATACATTTTTAGAAAAAAAATGGTGGAAATGATACTTTAAGCAAAAAAAGTCATGATCTAGTAAAGTAAATTTATAAAAATAACTAATCTTCATCTATGCAGAATTCAAACCTAATGAATATTATTGTGTCATACTTGTATAACTCAAAAAAATGCTTAATTTAGTTCATTATCACTTAAAATTGATCGCCATGCAAAAATGACAATTCTTAGCTCCATAAAATAACATTTTTATGTACCACTATTTCCTACCTTGCCTTAATAGGTAATTATTCAAACTTGTCAAATATTAGAATTACTTTGTCTTCATCTTCCCTTATTTTCAGGAAAGTGTAGGATAGTAAAATACAAAGTAATGATCATAGAAATACTTAAACTTACAAAGTCGAGTGACATTTTTCTTTTATATCTCTAGGATCTAATACATCACTCATTTTAATAAATTACAACAAAACTAGAAGTGACATTTGTTTACAGAATTCTGTGCATTGAGTCGAGCTCGTAAATATGACAGCTAGGATACTGTACCCAGACTCAGAACGCCAAAATCTCCTTGATGCTCCTTACAGAGTTCTAAGAACTACATAGGCATGGGCATGTCCACTGTGTCTGTCCTTAGATGGACCTTAAAGGATACAGCAAATGACGGAGAGAATTTTACAGCCCAAAGCGGAAAGCCTTTCGGAGTCACATGGTTAAGTCCAGTTAAACACAGATAGTGTAGGGACAACTGGGCAACCAAGTGGAAAATCATATAAGCTCTCAAATGTGCAGGTGCAAGTCAGAAGGGCGGGCAGAATTGCCTGGGAAAGATGTTCCTAATGGTGATAACAAATCACGGGGCTTCTCTGGGCTCTCCAGAGAAAGGTGAAACACCAGAGAAATGACCAAGGATTGGGACTTAGGGGCACACCAGGGTTAGGAGCTAAGATGGGACTGAAATAAATGAAGGAAACTGCCGGAAAAAGAGAAAAAAAAACACCTTTTATTCTACAATTTTTATCAGTATGCTATGTACGTAAATATGCTATATGAATATTCTACTGCAATAATCTGCAGACTTACTAACTCTGTTAGATGATTAAGTATAAATGGGATTTATTTGTGTGTCTGATTTTTCCCTTGGGAAGATTCTAAATGTACGTCATAAAATACAGCAAATTCAGAATAAATGAGAAATTATTAGTGCCATGAAATATGTTAGTAGAGCATTTATTTTAAAAAGGAAGCAGCTTTATTTTAAAAGCCTGTTTCAAATATGCGATTTTTATTCAAAACAAAATATGCATAGTAACCAATCAAATTATAGAGTATAAATTTTATTTAGGTATACATGTATGTCTTTAAGATATATGTATGTAAGAAAGACACATATTTAGTATTCAGGACATTAACAAGCTTGCTAAGAAATATCATGTGAATCTAAAGTTTAGCAGAGCAAAGCCAGGCAGAAAATCCCAAAAGAGACATAGAGAGAAAGTAGGAAGAGTCAGAAGATGCCATGTAGCTGTCAGTGGAGACAGTCGCTATAACCTTATCTAGTAAGCCACAGCCTTGTGGCGATATGCAGAATAATAGAAATGGATTATTTTAAGATATAAGAGCTAGCCAATAATAAGCCTAAGTTACTGGCCAAGTAGTGTTGTAATTAATATAGCTTCTGTGTGATTATTTGGGTCTCTGCGGTCAGGAAATGAAACAGCAGTCTCCGTCTACAGCTGAACAGACTTGTATTTTGAAATACATATATGCATAAACATATGCATACACAAATGTATGTAACAATTAATGAAATAGAGGTCATGAATTAGGCATATGCGGAAGGGCTTGAAGGAAGGGATGGGAAAGAAGAGAATATAATTATATTATAATCTTAAAGTACTTAGCAAAGTAAACAAGACTCTGTCCCTAAAAGCATTATTTATTTAGATAATGCGTTTAAGTGAGTACATGGTCTTTTGAGAATCAGAGGACACTCAAGCATTCTGGCACACACTTGTAATCTAGCACTCAGGAGACTGAGGCAGGAGGATTGCTGCAACTTCAAAACCTATATACAGTGAGTACAAGCCAGTTCACAGTGACCCAGCAAGAATCTGTCTTTGGGAAAGAGAAAAAGATGGAGTAATAAAAACTTCCTGCTCAAACCAATTTCCTTACTGAACTGTGAAAATTTTTACACTAGACCTTAAGGCCTGGAAGACCTTAAGGGATGATCATGACACATTCTTTTTAAATAGTAAGTTACTTCAAAATGTGTTTTCTTTCTTTTTAGAGTGCATTCTGAGCTACAAGTTAGAAATTGAATAAACATAATGAAAAAATACATGTTTTGTTATATAATCTGTGAAGTGATTGATTAGAGATGCATTTCTCCTTTATAATAATTATATTAAGATTAAATAAAATGAGAGAAATGGATTAGCAGATAAAAGCACTTCTGCTCTTGCAGAGGAGCCTGGTCCAGTTCCCAGCATCCAGCTGGTGGCTCACAACTGCCTGCGACTCTAGTCCCAGAGGATCTAACAACTTTCTTCTAGCCTCTCCAGGAGCCTGCATGTGATGCACAAACATACACACTAAGGTGCACACACATACACACACGCACATACACATACATATATAATAAACAAGTACTGTTTTTAAAAGCTTACATACAAAGTCCTCAAAACAAAAAGGCAGGTGAAAATGTTAAAGAATAACTCTGTGAGGTCATTTCTCCTTTGGGAGGGACGACTGTGTGGATGCTCTCAGGATGCTCCCATCTCAGCACACACTGAGCTTATGAAAACACTGTGTTCAGTCCTGGAACACTGAGGTCAATTTTGGCCTTTTTCTAAACATTTTTGTTTTATGTTTGGTATTATAATATAATTACATTTCTCCCTTCCCTTTCAAGCCCTTCCATATACCCCCTACGTCTCAAATAAACAGCTTCTTCATTCATTTATTGGTATTGCATGCATACAGGCATATGCACGTGCATTCATAAATATACCTGTTTATCCCATATAATGTTACTTGTATGCACGTTTTAAGGGCTGTCTGTCATTGGACAGGCTACTGGTGCTCTCTTCCTTGGTGAAGACCCTTCTTGCAGTATTCTTTCACTGTGCCAGCCAGAGCTTATACAAGAAGGAAAATTTGTATTTCTGAAAGCAGCACGTTAATCTAAAAAGAGGTGTTTATCCTAACATTATGTATAATATTATGTACGATAAAGAAAAATATTTTTCTTTGTCAATTATTAAAATGTTCAGTAAGCATCCAAATATGATTTAGAGATCCTTTAAAATTCATCTTTGTTGACTCCCCGTGGGAAGACTGAGGAGTGGATGGGGGTTGGGGTGAGGGGAAGGTGGGAAGAGCAAGAGGAGGGGAGGGAGTGGAAACTGGGATTGATATGTAAAAAGAAAAAAAAAAGATTGTCCTAAAAAATAATAATAAAAAAGAAAAGGTCTGAAGAGAAAAATTATTCCTCTAGTTTTGTAACTTAAGCAATTGAATTTTATGTATCTTGCATCTCACTTCAGGAAACCAGAGTGAATTAACACGCACCTGTTTATTACACAATTAAGAGGTGGTTTTAGTTAAGCTAAGAGATAGAACTGAAACAGCACTCTCGATGAATGCTAATCTCCAGTGCAAGATGATGACTTTCATCAAAAGTAAATGTGTTCTGTACTATTGGATACATCTATACAACCGCAGTGCAAATGAACGCCTGTCTATACAGACCTGCACCTCTGTAGCAGTCAGTGGGGGCGCCATAACAATGGCGCGTTCCCGCCATGGGTTGTTCTCACGGGAATTTTATCACTCAGGCGCGTGCCAGTCACAGGTTGTAAGCTGTAGTTAGTTGCAGTCATTAACTGTGTACATCCAGGCACCAAAAACATTCAAGATATAGAACCATTTGATTAAGAGATCAACATCCTCAAGAAAATCCACAAGAGTTCACACTGCAAACATGGCAGACAACCAAAGCAGGGGGTGGGAAGCCCTGATGCGGAGGCGGTGGTCAGTTTGAGGATGGAGCGGCTGAACAGTATCTGGTATCACACGATTCACGAACACCAGGCAGCTCACAGTGATCCATCAGAACGCTGGAGTCACTGAAGAAGCTGTGATGCAAGAAGGGTCAGGCCTGCTTGTTTGAGCATGGGAATTCAGAAGCAGGGCTAACAGGGGCGTGGACAGGCAGGATATAAACTGAAGATGGGCTTCTGTCATTGGCCTCTGCAATTACAAAGCTCTTCGGCACCTTCGAAACAAATTTACGCTCTTTATGATCTTGATGCCTTTTGTCTTGTTTTGCTATGAATTTTTAAAAAACTGGAGAACTGATGTTCTGTCAGAAGGGACATCAGTCATTTTATAGAACGCAAAGCACATCAGGACAGTTCATAAGTGTTCTCCACTTACTAGGTCTGGCTTCGCCTAAAATGCCTCTTGTACCTGTGCGGCTTCCGTCTCTACTATCCGAAGTGACCTTACCAGCTCCAGCTTCTATTCCCAGGCCCTGCTCCATGGCTAATCCTTCGCTCCAAAGCACACATTTGCACAGGCGGCTCTCACCATCTCAAGCAGGTGATCATGCAGCCAGTTTACTAGATGGTGGCATAATTCACACGACGGCAGGCTTTATTCTCTTGCCATAGCCCGGAATTCCTCGCCAGGCCGGTATTTTAACCCATCCCATTTATACACCTGTGCATGATCATGATTCTGCAACATTTTTGGTAAAAGTCAAATTGATGAAATTTCTTCCCGCTAAAAAGGGGGTCTTCTTTCTCCAAGAGAAAAAAAAAATGTCTGTTTGTTTTGAGGCACTACAGGTATGGAGTCCTTAAATAAGAAACAAACTGAAGTGAATTTAATTTCCTAGGTTTCTGTTTTACTGAATGGAAAAAATAAAAACCCTCCACATTCATTTGAACAAAGAACCTTAAATTTCCCATCTGGAGAGATGAAACTCTTGAGTTCTGAACATGGAACAGCATGTTCTGAGATTCTTCTGTAGGATGTGTAAGTTGTCTGCTCACTGGCGGACGAGGAGCCATTTGAAGGTTAACATAACCTCGAACACTGTCAAGGAGGTCCTCGGGGATTTAATTGGTTTGTGGAACAACTCCAAACTAGTCCTGTGCTTTCTTCTTTCTTTGCCTTTCCGCTTCTCAACTCTCTTGTCATAGAAAAAAAAAAAAGGAGGACGCATGGTAATGCATCATTTATAAATTACCTTGTTATTGAGGGGAAAATACACACACACACACAAAACACTGCTTTGAAAACCAAACAAACTCCTGCTGCGGACTCGGGCCTGTTTGATGGAGACCCTTCAAAAGAGTCCAGGGCGTAATGGAGGTTGTTTGTGCAGAGACTTCGATCTGTACCTGCTGTCCCCTGTCACTCCCTGGAAACTTGGCGGCAGATGTTGCAGCGGTAAGTTGTCTCTGAAGTGGCTCTCTGTCCTGTCCCCCCACCGCCGTGGAGTCAAACTGCATTAGATCTCCTATTTGTGCCTCCGGCAAGTTTGGGAGCGCAGCTGTGTCCACCCCGCTCCTACCTTTGGAGTTTCAGGCCTCCAGGCAGCGCGCGCAAGACCAAAACGGTCCTGCCGCTCTCAACTACCTCGGCTGACAATCGGGCCGCCGCGGCCGCCAGCAGATGTCGGGACAACCTGCTAGCGCGCACCTGGCCGCCAAACCCGCGACTCCCAGGACCTGCCGCCCGCATCAAAGCCCGCGCTCGCCCGCAGCCGCGCGCTGGGAGCCCGCCCGCCCCCGCGGCCGCTTTGATAAGGCTCGCACCGACTTGAGCCTCCGCATCAAGGACTTCAGGGCGCGCAGAGCTCAGCCCGGCAGCCCCGCGGCCTCTGCGCCACAGCACAGCTTCGGCTCCAAATGCGCCAGGAAGGGCTCGCTGCCCCACCTGCGGGACTCACTGGCAACTTCAGTTCTGTGGTCGCGGGTTTGTTTATTAGACTGAACTCTCGGGAGGCAGAATCTGCGGGAAACTGTTCCTACATAAATGACAAGGCTGTTTTCCAAAGCACAAAACAAGCTGCTAGGTAGGCAGGGGTTGTGTGTGTTCCTTGGAGCCATTAGTCAGGCCCTGCGAACAATTGTGCTTTATTAGCTGTCATGTGGCTTAAAGTCAGCCTCCTCCTCCTCCTTCAGAGGATGTGACTGTCTGGTATCCAGACCGGGGGGGTGGGGGTGGGGGTTATTATTTATGCCCTGACAATGTAAAGGAACACCCCCATCTAAAATCTGGCGTTTCAGAGCCTTCATAATACCTAAAATGAGCAAGTTATTTTACAATCACACTCTGACACTTCTGTACCAACACGAACACTTCATAAAGAGCACAAAGCAAAGTAAATGTTCTGTCTGCGTATGTGATGGCCACAGGAGACAGAGGAAAATCAAATTACTAATGAAACTAATTTACATGTTGACAAATTTTAAAATTTTTTAGGGGAATTGACCTTAATATCAAATAACATTTATTTCAATGAGTTACTTGATATTATAGTCAAGCTATTTCAATAGGAATTTAACATGCCTCTCTGTTCTGACAACACACTATTTAACAGACTTTCTAATATTTAATGCAACACTTCACTGGAAAGTAGATCTTTAGAGCAAGCGGATAAGTGGATGTAAATGGAGATCTTGTACACATGAATACAGTTCATATTTATATGAAGCATATATTCATAATTTAGAGTTTAATGGTTAATCCGGTTTAACCAAGTATTGGTGAATTTTAGGGGAATAAATCTTGCAAATACCCAAACTTCTTCACAATATTTAAAACAGCATATGAGGTTTTAGGAAGAAAACTGAATGTCCCGCCCCATCAATGTCTCACTATTCACTCAATATTAATCCTTAATAAGACAGAAATTATTAAACAGATGAATATCTACCCTGGTGAAGAGCACACTCAGATGAGGCCTGAAAATAATGGTAAGCAAAATGCAGTGTAAAGTCTAGAGTGTTCAAGAGGAAGAAGAGTTACACAGAGCTCCAGAAACAGAACTTGAGCCCACATCTGAATTTAAACAAGACACAAATTTCCATCGAAAGGAAGTTTCTATGGAGAGTCTGCTTCTGAGAACACAGCTCTCTCTGCCAGTGGTCCTATCAGACAGCGCTGACATCACGTTAGGAAGTTCAACAATGTTTCTCAAGTTGTCTATCCTACGTGTCTGAACTCAGATATTCCTGAAATGTTCCTAAGTGCTAGATGTAAAAATTTGAAATTCTTCTAAACTCTTAAATATCAAGCTAAAACCACCTAATACTAAATACACTTTATCTCGACTTCACAACATAAATACTAATTTGACTGATTGCTTCATAGTTTCAAAGAGTAGCCTGCCAGCCCTAAGTGAAGCCAAAGTCCTCTGAGGTGTTTACTCCTTCAGAGGAGAGGAAGGGCCATGCTCACACCATGAAAGCAGCCTAGCAGCCTGAACAGCACCGCGTCTCTCAACCAAACCCACCCTTGCTGAATTTCAGGAAACTTTGAACAATTTCTCTAAAATTGCTACATGAGGAAATGGAGTAGATTTATTAGAAAAGATAGTAAAAACAATAATCTAAACATATTTTTAAAGTAAGAGCTTTAAATGGACTCCCTTGGTGAGGAAAACGCATAAATACAACACATCTGTAAGTATGTGGACCTAAATATCACCATCTCAGACTTCTTGGGGGCTTCAGGCTTTAAGGACGCCCTGACATATTTCAGAGACCAGACTGTGACAATGACTGAAGGCGGGTGACATGTTTGTACTGAAGACAGCAGTTCTGAGGTTATCTTCCCTAGATCTCAATGCTACTAAATGTGAGAAAAAAGACTTCAGACGCTAATTCCCAGTCTGTTTCTTCCCAAACAAAGAAACTCAGAACACTTGTCTTCAAAGTCAGCGGGCATGCTTATGGTGTTAACTCATTATCTGGAAGGCACTGATATGCAAGTGGCTTGCAAATGCGTTGTAGAAACAAGATTTAACAGCCACCCCATGTAACAAGAGCATGCACCGGTCAGTATCAATTCCATCCTGCACGGCAACAGGAAGTTTTAATTAATTTTCATTAATTTTTCCCTACTTTCATCATCTGTGCACCCCCCCCCCCATCAAAAGATCCCCATACACAAACCTCATCTCCTTCCTGGGGTCTCATCAAGGACACTCGGTCATATTGCTTCATGATCAAAGCCCAGAGTGCATCCAGACGACCCTAAAGAGATATTAGATTTGTGAAATTGGGTAGATTCGTTTCATTAATCAATGAAGCAAGTTAGTCTATACAAAAAACCTGGAAGCGCTTATGCTAAGAAAGTAAGCTGCTGCTAGAACCGAAAATGAGTATCTGTTATTGGATCTGCCTTGGTCTTCCTCGTGGGACAGGTGAGACAGTAAAAGCTACGTCCCTGTTAGGTTTAAGCTATGTCACCCAAGATGGAGGCACGTACCTTAATTGGCGTGTACCATTTTGTCTGAGGGGCCTGGTGTGTGGATTTGGGTCGAGGCGGTCTTGGTGGGACGGGTATCTCTTCTTCGGGGATCATCACCACGGCATTTTTCGCCTTCTCTAACCTTGCACCTTCCTCAGTCGATCCTTTATCGCCCCAGCGGACCTTGAAGATGAAGGAGACACCACTGTCAGACAGAAGGCCCCAGAGGAGCAAGCACCTAGGAGGCCCCCAGGCCAGTGTAAGAAGATGAATGGGTATATTGACTTCCAGTTCCTTTTCTTCTGAGTTTTAATGGGTTCCCAACCACTCATAGTTGGCTTGTGTGTATGTGAGGGTGTGTATGTATGCATGTTCATGTGTGTTTGAGTTCATATGTGTGTGGAGGCCAGGGGTCAGCTTCAGATGTTATTCCTCTGGGGCCCTCCATCGTGTGTTTTGAGATAAGGTCACTCACGGGTATAGGGAGCCAGTCCATTAGAATAGGCTGGCTCGACAGGACAGTCCAGGGATCATCCTCATTATTCTTTATTATCTTAACATCATGACCCAAATACAAAGCGTTTGTAAAATATGATGTCACTTAAATCTGGTGTAATGGTTTCCCCATCACTTCAAATCCACGATTTGTGGTATATATAGATAATGCAAGACTGTGCAGTTCAATTCTACTTTCAGATATGTAAGATGATAGTGGTAGCATTTATTTCTGTGTGTTCCTGTGCATTCAATCCATACAAAAATGCAAAGAAGCTGATATTATGTGTTTCCCCTCCAGATGACAGAACTACGGCACAGGTTAAAAAAAATGTTCCCAGCGTCACAAAAGGAGTACCCAGGCAGGGTATGAATTTGGACATAAGCAAAAAGAGATGAGTGAATAAGGTTTACACAATTCTGAAATGTATAAATTTATCTCACATATAAGGAACTAATCTTTTTAAAATTTTCACATTTGACTGTCTCTTTTCACGAGAAATTGGCAGGAACGCGCGCGTGAAGTTATTAGGAATTGTAGTGGATCCGATATGATAGCAGCTGTTATTAAAAGCTCTGCTCCGACTTTCTGCAAACTCCGCTAGAGGACAGTTTAAATACATATTCAAATTCAAAGAGATTTGCAAAATCCGGGGAAAAGAAAGTATCCATTGTGACCTGATCTAACTTCAGCTCTGAAGGTTTGTTCTCCAGCCCTGATGACCTCAGAACTTCTGTAATTCATTGACTCTCGGCAGCTCAAGCACTGTGCAGGTCTGAAGAGGCGTTGCTCAGCAAAGCACTATGCACGATTTCCCCCTCCCGTTCCAATTCACCGTAGAGACATTTTAATGATGCTTAATTCTCAGCTCAGCTTCACTGTGTATCTTTATATACTGAATTTCTTCTTTATAAATAGCTATGCTTTCTTTGCCATTTTAAAATCCATTATCATCCTATTTGCCATCCTATCCATCGAGTGTTCTAGCAATGTGGTCAAAAGTTTTCAAGATTAATGGACACAGACTCAAAGGAGGTTGACTCATTCTTTTTCAAAAATTTTCCTTTACTAAAGAGGAAGGGCAGGAGGTGCAAGTTTACATCTGGATTTTGAGAACTCTTGAAGTTTGAACTGCAGGCTTCTGGGAACAGACATGTGCTTTTTTTTTTTTTTTTTTTTTTTTTTTTTTTTTTTTTTTTTTTTTTTTTTNTTTTTTTGAGCATAGAGAAATCGTTGGTTGCAGTTTGGATATGGAATGCCCTCTAGGGGCCCAGGTACTAAAGTCTTGGTGTGGCTCTTTTGGAAGGTGACAGCAACTGTAACGAGCGGTACCCAGAAGCAGGTCTAAGAGATAGACCTTTGCAGATTGCACATCTAGGGGGTGACAGCAAGATGTCCTTTGTCTTGTTTTACTCCCATCTGCCCGTGGTAAGCAGCATGACACAGACCCAAACCAAGAAGGCTTACAAACCACAGGTTAACTCCCCAAGCCAAAATAAAATTCTGGTTTTGTAAGTTGGTTTATCTGACTGATACATAAAATCTCATTTCTTTTTAGCCAGGATCCTTTCATGAGTTTATGTTGCTTTTTTTCCTTAGACTAGTGGATTAACAAAAATTAGTTCAACATAATAAATGATATGTATTATTAATGAGAATAGTTGGTGAGTACTAAGTAAAAAGTGTTGAAAATTTAAAATGTGCCTCTTCTGTATTTGTGGTAAAGTCATATCCTGCTGAATATTTCAAAAATTATATGTCAAACAATAAGTAACTGTTGGGCCTTTTCAAAGAAGAGCATTGTTGCAACTATGAGAGATTGGCATTCTTAAAGTTGATGCTCCATGGGGTAATTTTTTTTTTTTCCAAAACAGGAGGGAAACCCAAGCTTATTTTTTTCCTTAGTGTTCAGAAATCCTCTCAATGCGCCCTTTGACTGATGGAGCCTGCTGTTCTGCAGCTCTGACGTGGCTAGAGTGATTCCACAGAGAAGAAATGCGCCCAGAGAAAACCCAGGGCTGACCGATGAAGGGCGAGATAAAAAGAAGCGCCGTGTCAGTGGCTCAGTCACCCTATAAATGCACATTTCAGATTAGCACTCTATTTCTTTAGGGGACCAACCTCCATTCTTTTAATGCCTCCAACTCCTCGACCACCATAATAGGAAGCATCCACAGTCGGCCATTTCTTGTTGGGCAAAGGCTCTTCTTCCTCTTCCTATGGAGATACAGTTTTTAAAAGTGGATTTAATCAGTTTCTGAAAATGTCCTTTGGTCAGAGCTTCATCACACTGAGATGTTTTAAATGATTCCATTGTTTTGAGGGAATGTAAAAATGATATTTGGGGTAAATGGGGGCATTTATAATGACATACATCAATTTCAAGAGCAGTTCTACAAGAGATTCAGACACCTCCCCTTCACCAAATTCTCCTACATCCCACCTAGGCCAAAAGAAGTTGCCTATCTTAACTGTGAGTATTGTGTGTCTAAACCAAGTATGTTTATCAATTCAAACTGGAAAAGATTGTTCGACTTACGGTAACACTTCAACAATTACTTCGTATATCAATATATATGTAACCTTGAAGGGTAAAATTTATATTAAAGAAGCTTTAAGAATGAATGCATACTACCAGTATATGCCTTACTTTATGTTGCTACTATGATGCTAGCTGACAAAGTAATAAAACAGCAAATTATCACTTTGAAGAAAGTAATGGCATCTTCCAACTGCCAGCTTAGATATTTCAACAATTTTAGAGAACTATTAATATATCTTTATTTATAAAATATATTTAATCTCTATGGACTTTTGATCCTGTAGCCAGTTTACCACTGAAGGACTCATTCCTCTACTCCATGAAAGAAATCATAAGATTAAAAAGTAGCAGTAGGTTTTCAGAAAGTAAACAGTACTTAGCTATCATATAAATGGAGTTGGTATAATTTCAAAATGATATTTACAAATGAAAATAAAACAACTGCTTTTCCCTTTATTAGGCAATCACTTACCTCCTTTGGTGCAGGAGGTGGTGGGGGAGGATCCTTGATAACCTGTCCCAAAATAAAACAGAATAAAATGTAATAATTTCCATAACATAAGAAAAAGTAAGAAAGTATGAAAAAAAAAAACAATGACTAGTCTGGCAACTCCAGAGATGAAGGATTAGGATTTAAAGCAAAACCATAGTCAAATGAAGCTGACTTAAGGTTAAAAATTGTGTATCCCCTTTATTAAAAGGAATACTTTGTACCTTGAGTAGTCAGTGATTGTGTATCCCCTTTATTAAAAGGAATACTTTGTACCTTGAATACTCAATAAACCACTGCTATCAGCATTTCACTCTGTAAGATCAAAGCCAACCCCACTGTTTTTCCCAATGTTCTTTTCTAGTAGTTCGCTCTCACCAGATGCAGACTACAGATGCTGACATAACCTATAATGTCTCTTTGTTCTAAATAATTTTCCAATCATTTTAGGCATTTTTTTCTCTTCTGCCCGTCCCTCCCCTGCCATGAATCTCTGTCTTCTCAAAGAAGATGACAATTCCTGTGGTGTTTACAGATCCTTCTCCCTTCTTCCCCAGTATTCACAGAGTTCTTTGCTTTCATTTTATCTTAACTTTAAAAAACTCCCCTTGCCAGTGTCAATACATGTCTCCCAAGTTCACTGCGGTCACTCTGTGTTTCGACTATTTAACAGAGAGGGACTGGTATAAAACATAATTTCAAGTTTGACAGGCAGGAGAGAAAGGGGGAAGCTGGGAGGAGAGAAAGATGAAAGAGCTTAATCAACCATTCCCCCCATCAAAATAGACTCAAAGTTCCAAAGCACACAGTCCAAATCAAGAAATTTTTGGTCCTCTCTAACATGAAAAGCCTAATAATATAATAAAATTTCATGTTATAATCTTTCCCATAGGTTTTTTATTTCTATGACTTTTCACAATTCCATATGGGTGTATGTGTGCCTGTGTCTTGTATTCATAACACTCCAGAAAAGAACATTTTAGAGGTAATTTTTCAATTAATATGAAACTAATTATGTGCATGACCTATTATAAATTTAAATAGATTTCGAAGTCTGGAGGTATGCATGGTTAACAATAAAAATAAATTCTTCATGTTCTGCCTCAATCAAATGCCAGGCTACCGAGTTAAGAGACACAACATCCATCACAACAGTGACAGGAACCCCTAGGACAGGACCCAGAACCGGGCTAGGACTGTATTCTGCTTCCTAACAGTTGCCATATGGTAGACACTCTGGCCTCTTTTATTTTCATATCCTTGTAAGACTGCTATGTTGATGTCCATTTTAAGCAAGGAAGAAAGAATTCCAACAACCTTTAACCACAACGCTTCACCAAGTACATACAATGACAGAATTAAAATCAGAATTAAAATTCAAACTCATCAATTAGAACATTTACTTCCAATGTAATTCCATTACATTGGAATTACATTACATTGAGTTCAATTCCATTACATTGGAGACTTTAAAATAAATGTTGAACTGCCAACGGAAAGTCTGTGAAAGGTCAGTTGTTTGCCAAGCGATTGTTTTTTTGGGGTGGATGGGGGAATGGAATCATAGGTGATAGAAAACGAGAAAGCATTAGTGTGAAGTATGTAAAGGGAGTATGTATGTTGAGGTGGGGCTTATACCACTTCAGAGGAGCATTGCACACCCGCTGTTATTCCCAGCATCACTCAATTAGAAATTTCCTCTTATATATAAAAATATTACTATACATGTTACCACGTGGTCTCATAAGTAACAAAAAGAAAAGAATGTGATTCTACCTGTGCCTAAAACCAGAAAAAGGTGGGAGTCTATCTGGAAGCAGCATGTCTTGCATGCCTGCATGCCAGTAAAATTAGTTTGGGGGGAGAAGGGAACTTAGTGTTGTCCAAGTGCATTAAAAATAACAGTCAAGAGAATCTTGTTCTTATGTTAAATAGTGAAAGAGCACATTCACTCCAGAGAAGGGTGTATTCATGTGCACCATATTTCATGAGAATTTGCAGGTTTTCAAAGGCATAATATTGCCTTGTTGCCAGGACTTTTTCCACTTAGCCTCCTTCAGCTCTGTATTGAAAATTCTGGAAAACACTTTCACCACTTTATGGACCATATGGAGAGTTTGAGTCTTCTCCAATTTTTTTTTTCCATTTGTTATTACCATCATCGGGGTGGGAGGGAAAATTACATCTCATCGGCTTAGCTGCTAGAACCAAGATTTCAGTTTGGAGGAGAGCCGATTTCTTAAAAATTAAAAAAAAAGAAAAGAAAAGAAGAGAAGAGAAAGAAAGTTATCTGCTTCAAACAGTCCTTTTGATCTGCTCATTAACACGTTTCAAATGCTCCAGTGATGTAGGCATTCTTTGCATTAGAAAATGTCAGCAGTGGAGCCTGCAGCCAGCTCGATGCAATCATATGTTCTGACAGTCAGAAAAAAAGTGGAAAAACTGTCAACATTGCACTGCTTTGGATCGCACACACACACACACAAAAGGATACAGTATAATGACTGTCGATAGTAGTATTTCATACATAATTTTTACCAGTAACTAAAAGAAAACCATCTAACAACCACAAGCCCACAGACAGTGGGGGAAACGCCCTGTTTACGGAAATTTTTTTTAAAATCCAAGTGGGTCTTCCTTTCATTTTCTTTCTTTTTTTTAATTAATTAATTAATTTATTAATTAATTAAAGATTTCTGTCTCTTCCCCACCGCCGCCTCCCATTTCCCTCCCCCTCCCCCAATCAAGTCCCCCTCCCTCTCAGCCCAAAGAGCAATCAGGGTTCCCTGCCTTGTGGGAAGTCCAAGGACCACCCACCTCCATCCAGGTCTAGTAAGGTGAGCATCCAAACTGCCTAGGCTCCCACAAAGCCAATACGTGCAGTAGGATCAAAAACCCATTGCCATTGTTCTTGGGGTCTCAGTAGTCCTCATTGTTCTCCTTGACAAACGCATGGATTAAGGGCAGCGCCTTTCTTCTGGAGTGCAAAGCCCTAAATTCTCTTAGATTTGTACTTGCAAAGTCCTTTTCCGAATTCCACAATTGGAAACAGAAAATATAGCCCAGTTATCTTGCCCCTTCCTTCCCTTCCCTTCTTAGCCAGTTCAACCATAGTCAGGGAATGTTACCTTGAACAAATAAGCAAAAAGCCAGAAATGTGTGCAATAAATACAAGGTCAAATGGGACAAGGGAAGAACAGTATATATCCTGACAGGAGTTAAAGACATTGCTGTCGTAGGTCAGGACAAACCTGGTACCCTGAGTCGTAAATGATGGTGGAAAATATCACCATGGAAGCAATACATCCAAGCATCTATCATACTGTATTTCAACGCGGCAAGCAAACATAAATCATTTTAATTAATGGTGCAAGGAAGGCATATTAAAATTTAAATTACTTCTGTTTTATTGGGCATTCCCCCCCAAAATCGGGCCTCTCTGAAATTAATTCAATAAAGGTACCAGGAGCCCTCCTCAACAATAAAAATCAAGTTCAGAGTAGAAGCATTATTACTATGTAAAGGGAACAGCGCAGCTGTTGCTTGCTAAGAATTGTTCGACAGAGCTCTGGTTGGAAGCATCACCATGAACCTTACCTTATGATCAAACCGGGCTTTTTTTTTTTTAAAAAAAAAAAGGCAACTTTGAAGTTACTAATTTAAGATTCACAACATCTTTCTGTAACGTGCAAAATGCACTAAAGACACAGCGCACTTGGCTGTGCCTCCCTGAGGATGGAGACTTCGGCTAAGGACACCAAAACAGCATGAGCGTTCATCGGCCCCAGCGTAATTCCCAATATTTGCAGCTGTGTACCCCACTCATGGACAGCAGTCCAGACATCCTCTGTTTGCCACCTCATGAGCCTTACATCTGTAATTGTGGAGAGAGTGTCTGGCTACCCCAAACAAGGCGATTATGTGGCTGACATTTCTACTGTCTCATTTACTTAAACAAGTCTCTTACGGACACAGTGTCTCCTCTAAGCTAAACAGTAATCAAAATAGCTATGTTTTCTGGTATCTTATTCATAACTCAACACATAAGAAGCTTTCTTTAGCCCTTTGTGTCTTCCTTCTTTTAATCAAAGACAGAAGAGAAAGAGATGCCTGTGTCCTTGTTAAGAAAGAGCAGTTGCTGTGAAGGATGTAAGAACTCTCGACAGGCAGCACCAGCCTTAAACAGGAGGCAGGGGATGACTTCCCACCAGAAAAAACCTTCCCCTGGCAGAGCAGTTCACAAACACTGCACGATCAACAGATATCTAACGGTAGGTTCTGTCCATTCAGCTTCTTGTAAGAGCTCTCTTGGTAAAGGTTCTGCAGGATTGTGCCCTCCAGGTTATCTTTGCTTCTGTTTCTGATTCTGTGTGAAAGCCAGGCACACAGAGGATACAGTTTGCACTTTCAGTCATAGTCACCTCGCTCTTTCATCCCTACAAAGCGTTCCTTACAATGCATGGCAGGATAGGAAATAAAAAAAGTGAACAGTCACAATAAGACTGTCTTGAGTGGCCAGTCCACAACAGGCACTTTCGACCTGACCTTGGTATCCTATGCCTTGCTGTAGCAGCCTGGTGCATCTACAGAACCTCTCTCATATTAACTATGCAAAATTCAAATGTGTGGGATTTTGAGTACATGAACAATATTAACACAAAATTATAGTTATAAATATATTACATTTAAAATCTGATTATACTTCAGATTTTATTACAATTAAGGAATTTGATTCTGAGAACCACAGCCATACAATAACTTTGGAGAATCCTGAGGAAGAGAGGGAGGAAGAATTGTTGGAGTCAGAGGGCTCAAGGATGTCATAAGAAAACACACAGAATCAATTAACCTGGGCTCATAGGGGTTCACAGAGACTGAACCATGGAGCCTACATGGGATTGACCTAGTTCTTCTGCACATATTGGTGTAGGAGGTCCTTCTGTTTGTGTGTTGCTTTCATTGGTTGAATAAAGATACTGCCTTGGCCTTTTGATAGGGCAGCCCTCAGATAGGTGGGGAAGACAGGACAGAATTCTGGGAGGAAGAAAGCAGAGACAGGCAGACGCCATGAATCTCTGGCCCAAGACAGATGTAGGTTAGAATCTTTCCCGGTAAGCCATGACCTCGTAGTGATATACAGATTATTAGAAATGGGTTAAACAAATTTGGGCGAGTTAGCCAATAAGAGGCTAGAAATAATGAGCCAGGCAGGCAGTAATTTAATTAATACAATTTCTGTGTGGTTATTTCAGGGGTTAAGCTAGCTGGGCGGTGGGACACAGACTGCTCCTCCTCCTACTACAACATATATTGTAGTTGTATAGCTTGGTCTTCTCGTGGGGCTCCTAGGAGTCGGAGCAGGGGCTGTCTCTGGCTCTATTACCTGCTTTGGGGACCCTTTCCTCCTACTGGGTTGCCTTTTCCAACTTTAACGGGAGAGGAGATGTCTAATCTTCCAGCAACTTGATATACCATGGCTGGCTGGAGAGATGCCCATGGGAGAGCTGCCCTTTTCTGAAGAGAAAGGAGGAGGAATGGATATGGGGTGAGAGGAAAGGGAGGTTGAGGGTTGAGAAGAGAGGAGGGAGGGAAACAATGATTGACCTGGGAAATAATTACCTTATCAATTTACTAATAAAAAAAGGAACTGTGATTCTTTGGGACTACAAAATGTGTCTTTTCTATTTTGTATGCATTTATAAGGGACACTTTTCAGGGAAAATGAAAGAACCAGGCCCCCTGGGTAACAAATCCACTTGAGCACAATGTTTCCACAGCTAGCTCAACTTCTGCAACAATGAGCAACAGCCCCCTCTGTTTTAAAGCTGATTGTGGGAGACTCAGACAACATGTCTCTCAGTGTTGGAGATGAGATAGTTCAGGAAGATGCCCCAGTGAACATCTGTGTGTTATTCGTTTCTTTGTTTACATCACTGGGAAGATTTTCAACGAGTAACACAATGCCTGCCTGTTTTCACAAACTTTCTGAGCTATACTAGAGGATAGATTTTAAAGAAATAATGATGCTAAATGCTCGCTTAGGAATATTTTTACTCACACGTCACCAAAAAAAAAAAAAAAAAAAAAAGTACTACTTCACACTGTGGGTTTTCACCAGGACCAGTATAAACTAGTTTAGAAGTGATGCTCCTGGCTTTCATTTGTTTCTTGAGTCCTGGGATGAGTCTGGTACAGCTCACCGGGTACATCCTAGTTTCCCAGAGAGACAGTATGTAGCTAACCATCCTGGGGCCTGCTGTTCTCTGCAGGGCAAAACACCAGTCCCTAGCTTTCAGGAGGGCCAACAGCTGCACACCTGCATTTGAATAAAACCATGCTGGACACTTCTTGCAAAGAGTAGCAACCTGGGGAACCTGTCAGATGATGCAAGCAATACACATGTCTAGCATATTTCTAAGAATTATAATCCCATTCTGTTTTCATCTCTCTCTGAGACAGTAAGTCAGTCCCATTCAGTACATGAAGTCTTATGCATTACAAACCAAAACCTGGTTATTCTATTTTATTCAATTTTATTACACTTATCTATTTATTTTGAATCATAATGCGAATAAGGATTATATAAGGTCAGAGAACAACCTTTGGGAGCCAGCTGTGTCTTTCCACACTGTGGGTCACTGATATTGAACCCACATCAACAGGCTTGGCGGCAAGTGCCTTCACCCCTGAGCCATCTCTCATGCCTTCTCAAAATCAATAACCCTGACCAGTCATTTCCAACTTGGGAATATCAGAATGAGTCTATAAATATAATTATTTTTTATTGTTGCAACAACAAAAAAGAAATCTTCAAAACCCTGTGACTCAAAACAAAGAGACTTGTTTTTATTCACGTCTGAAGTCAGGATTCTGAATTATGTCTCATGAGGTTAGTGGTCTACCGTTGGCCAACTGCTTCCTTCTGCAGGGTGTGGTGGGACCACTCCCTGCCTTCCCAGCATCTCCCTACACCAACATCCCTTGTCATGAGGTCTGCACCATTCCAGTCTTGCCTCCATTGCACCTTCTCCCTTTCTGTGGTCCAGTTTCCTCCTAAGAATGATGGTTATGTGTAGATCCCTTCTAAACTATTCAAGACAATCTATCGCAAGACAGTAAATCATTCAGTTCTCAAAGACCCTCAAATCTCTCCACTTCCCATTGTCCGGTGAACACAAACTTTCTAGAAGTCATAGGAGACCCTTCTGCGTGAGGGTCTTCCACACTAGGTCTCAGCTCAGCACTTTTTAAAGCACACCACAAAGCAAACAAAAACACACACACACACACACACGCACACCTGAAAGGTCCTTCATTAATTACATATTTTCTTTATGTTTGAAATCATACACTCCGTCAGGCTCCTCTGAAAAATGTTCTTTATATATGGCTATTAGGTACTGAGAGACCTTCGTCTATACTTTTAGTTCACATTTCCTTGTTTCTATATTGACATACGAAATTCCATATCATATTGTAAGCATGCATGAGTCTCCAGTTCCTAATACAGTAACTGCCACCTTCTACATGATCAAAACATATCTGCCAAAGGGTAAACAAAGGGCTTTGACTGCCCTTACCCCAGCTTTTGAACCTCCTCTAGAACACACTTGTTACAGTTCACTTCTACCTGGGTGTGACTCCAGTTCACATTCAGGGCTTGCTGCTTTCCATTCCGTGCTTCTAAGAATAAAGCGAAAGTGGCTGCCTCCGTCAAACAAACTGCAGAACTAATGAGTGATCGATCGTGCTCGTTTTGAAGCTAGGGACTCTTTATGAAATCCTATAACAACTAGAGGGGCTTCTCAATGCCTTGCATAAACATAATTCCATCGTTTATTATCTGCAAAGCCTCGGGTCAGAGGGCACCTGCTCTTACCTGCTTGGACCTCCTCCTTAATATCCAAGATCAAAGTCTACATTTAAGAAAACGTAACAACTTCCTAAAAAGGGTCATTTAATTTTTTTTTCATGTGTCTTTAAGGGAGCAAGCACACACTTTGACACTTTTGCACCCTGTTACCAAGAGTAAATGAAATTATAAACTAATGAAGGGAGAAAATTTGCCACTGTAAAATTTAAATTAAAAATGCAAGGAGCACAAATCACATTAGAGCACCTTTTTTGCTTTTTAATTTAAGCCTCAAGAATGCCATCCACCTCCCCCCATAGCCATAACTAAGATAATCAAGATTATACCAGGAATCTGTTAGAGCATAAGCTACTGTGGCAGGACCTTGATGAGTTCAGCAGAGACAGGGAGAGTGTCATCTCTACGGCTGTCCTACCTAATGCTGTACTTCCTCTGTGGGCCAGCTACTCTGAGACAAAGGATGGGGAGGCTACCTCAAGGCAGCAGACTGCGGTGCCTCTCATAAGGGATGGAGATGGAAAACAAAGCCAGGCCTGATATCCTGGGAAGCTGAAATCAGGTAACAAAGGGGGCAGTCTACTGTATCATGTTAAACACTCCCAGGAGATGGAGAAAGTGTTGCTTCCATGAGCAACACTCTCAACACAAGTAATAGGAACACCCTGAAAGATTTTTCTGGGATAATCTTTTCTCTAAACTCTAGATAAAAGGGGATTAAATGAAATATGCTAATGTATATAAGTTATGCACTATCACGTAGGAGGCTGAATAATACCTCTATAAAGATGTCTGTGACTGAATTTTGGTACTGTGAATAAAGTACTTTACATGGTAAAGGGATTTTGGAGGTGTGATGATTAACAACCCTGAGATGGAAGATGATCCTGTAGTATCCAAATGGGTCTAACTGGGATAGATGGGTCTGTAACACTGGCAGCCGTCCCCACTTGGATTCTGTCACAGGGATATGTACAGATGATCAAGGAGATACGACACAGCGGTGCCGGCGCTGGGGTGGATAAAAGAGGTCACATGGCAAGAAATAAGGGCGGCCTCTTCAAACTGGAAATGACGGACTCTGGCCCTGAGCTTCGAAAGGTGTGCATCCCATTGCCTCCCCTGGCCCAGGTGAACCCAGTGAAGCCCATGTAGAGGCTGTGATAAAGTAATCATTAGATTAAAATGTGTGGAGCTTTTACAAGTCAAGCAGGTGGTAACTCGGGAGCTCAGCAACAGGGAACGCCACCACACCACACTTTCTCTCTTGCGTAAACCGAAGCTGCTCGTCTGTCTCTAAAGTAAGTGTTTGACCGACAGCCTAACTTCTGCATGGGACTTAGCGCTAAAATATGTTCCAGCTGGGAGCAAAAAAAAAAAAAAAAAAAAAACACCTCATGCCAACAGGTCCTTGAAAAAATGCACTCCAGGCACTTTTGAAACAGCTGCCAAAGCCCACAGCTCTCATGACACCAGCAGAACCCCGCCTCCATGTATCCAAACTTTTCTTGAACTTGAGTGAAAATAACTTCCATTCCAACGGTCCCCCAACCTCTCAACACACCGTCCCACAAACCCGAGTTCTGAAGTGCCTCTGATGTGAGTTTTATGCTCGAGAGCGGCATACGTGTTTTCTAGAATTGACTGTATGTAAAATAATTGAAATTCAAGTTGCTAATTAAAGCTGTACTGCTGCTGGGCCCCATGGCATCTGTCCACACGCCGGGCCTTACTTTGTGTCTTACTGCTTTAGAACACGAACAAGAGCAGAGTTGAAAGTTCTTACCACTTTACAGCAGAGGGGCCAAAACCACCACATCAAGGCGATACCCAAGAGCAGCAACAACACCAAAATCACTATGATGGCTGCGATCCCATTAGACTGTGGAAGGAAAAACAAACAAAAAAAGAGTAAGTTTAAGGTCAAATACCAGATGCTATTTTTTCTTCTAAGGAAGCACACACTAGGCAGGAAAAAAAAATGAGCACAAAAGGCAAACTTACGTTAGATTCCTTTAAGTTTTACTAATTCCTTTTTATTTCACTTAATGTATACCTGCTATGTTAAGATGGTCAATAATGCAACGTCTTCCAACGTGCTACAGACGAATTAAAATCGGTCTTAAAAGACTGTGAGAACCACAACCTTTGAGGATTAAACTAATGTTGCCTTGGGGACTTTTGTGCTTAGGCAACAATTATGCTGGTTCAAGCTCAATTTTGTCCAGACAGAATTTCCCCAGGTTTTATGGCAATACAACAGCGATTACTTTACATAGTTGGAGGGTGAAGAAGAGACAAAACATGGGTCAGTAAGAAAAACACAACGGCTGTTTTTATGTATGCCTAGATGGAAATGCAGCCCGATGAGTCCTTACTACCTGTGACTTCTAGTCATGGTTCACATGTGACTCAGGCTAGATCTTCACTGTCTGACCTCAAAGCTCCTCCGTCCTTCAGGTACCTGCTCTGGGCTCTGCCTGCAACCTATACTGTAATGACCTCTGGTCCATCCTTCAGGCCTCAGGCTAAGTCGTTCCAGTAGGAACCCCGCCTAGGATTCCATTGCTACTAAGTGGACTGGATGACAAATTTAGGCAGAATTTCTGTAGATTTTAATTGTAGCCTTTTTACAATGGAATTAATTATGAGCTTTGGGAAATTTAATTCTATTTTTCTATCATACTGTACATCTCCTGGGAAATCAAAGACCGTTTCCAATCAGCTTACCACTTGACACTGACGCTCCTTGCTTAATGTTTACAAACTATGTACAAAGAAAGTGAACTCGAAATCAGTAAGACTTCACATGGCCCACATAACAAAAGGAACATAGACACTTTCACTTTTTCAGTGGATTTAGAGGAAACTAGTGCCTCTGCCAAAGCCAACTACTCTGGATTCCCAGGGAAACTTTCAGTTGGTTGTCTTTGCGGGTTTTGTTTGTTTTAAAAGAGAAAGAGCACAGAGAAGAAAAATAAAGACAAAAAAATACTTTATAGAGATTTTAGACCAACATCTAAATACCGTCTTCTTGAAGCTATCAGAAGACAATCAGAGTGTAGATCAGGAAAATACAGGAAGCTCTTCCTCCTTCCTCATAAGCCACCCCACAGGCAAAGTTACAATTAAGTACAAAATCAGGCAAACAGGAACAACCAGGAAAAGCATGTCCCAGAAGTATACTGGGAAACTATAGCATACACCCAGAGAAACAAAAGACTGCATGTCTTGTTGAGATAATCCCCACTCCCACCTAGGCCCAGCAGCTCGCAGAAAGACCCTGTGTGACTGTGCTATTCAGTGTCACAGAGAGCTCTGTGAGCATCTGATTCCCAGTTAGCATTTACACCGCTTCCACAAAAGAGGAAATGCAACTAGAGGCCCGGGATCTGCTAGAACTGACTGGCTAGTTTGCTATTTCTTTGCATGTGCAATGGGCAAGAAACTCACAGACCTCTTCCAGGTATATGGAATATTACATAGATGGGTATTTAAAATTCTTCATTTTTTTCCCTCAAAATTAACTGCCTCTATTAGTAATAGTGACAAAATTCCCCGCAAGAGAAATAGATGGTTAGTGTGATGGTCCTGGCATCATAACTGATCCCAAAGACTGTTCAAAACTTCAAGCTAGAGTACCTATGTTCTGAAGAACTGTGAAGCTCACTCTCCTCTGTTTCAGGCAAGCATGATGGAAGCAGGGTCAGAGGAAGCAAGGATTTAAAGCTACCTGACCTTGCTCTGTCTGTCTGTCTGTCCTCACCGCAGGCACTAGCATAGTGCATTGTATAAGATTCCCAGCTTTCCTGTTTCCTTTGTTGTTCACAGAGCATGGAGCGGTCAGTGAGGAAAAGGAAATCATTTCATTGTTCACATAACTTCCTAAACAGAGTAAGGAGAAGCCAAGCATGGAAACGCAGTCCTAGGAACGGACAGCATGGTGCAGACCTAGAAGCCAGATGAGCAAGAGGATGAAGCCAGGTCTAGTTACTCCTAGATCTGAGTCATGATCACAAAACCAAAAGTTTCTCACTTTTACTCAGACATGCTCTCCTTAAGCAGACCTCCAGCTGAAAACTCCTCATAGATATTCAACATGAATGCTATTTCTTTTAAATTCAATATATATGACAGAAATCTAAAAATATTCTTCCATTCATATAAACCATACTTGATGTATGGTACAGACCCACGACTGTATACTGGACCATATGGGTGCCAAGGCCACACATGAGCCACGTCCTCGTGTAGCCCATGGGTGACAGAGAGGAAGCTTGAACAGATACTAAAAAAGGTAAGGAACGAGGAAGGAAATCTCAAGTCCTTACAGTAGCTCACACAGTTTCAATCATCCGGCACCTCCCACCACTGATTCTTCTGCACCAAGACCCCTATTTTCCCGGCCTGTCTCCACTCTCTTTAGGAACTGTCCCACCTCAGGCTCTGCCCTGTGTTGCCCATCTGCACAGAACCTTCTTATCACACATGGTCTTCAGAAGTCACTCCCTCATCTCCCAGGCTTTGACTCAGATGTCACCTCAGTGAGAATCATCTCGACCCCTATTTAAGGTCTAATATTTCCACTTCCAACTGATGCCCACATCTGACATGACCGATATTCTTTTTTTTTTTTTTTTTTTTTGAAACATTTTCTTCTTCAACAACCTCCAGTAACATAACTCTCCTGAGAACTCACCAGGCTGGGATGAAATGGCCTTACAGACCTCTAAGTGCCAGGTGAGTCATCTGGCCTAAGAGCCCCTACACGTGGAGCTAGTTCTTAGCGATAAGACAGAAACAAAGACCTGTCTTCCTGCCTACCAGGAAGAAAGATTTCTTAAGTGACAGGGAGGGGAAAAGAAGAGGAAGAAGCAGTGCCTCGCCTTAGGGGAAAAAAGAGCTTGAGCAAGCAGGATAGTCAAGATGGGGGAAGGACAGAGAGGGAGAGAAAAAAAAATGCTATCTGATGGATGGAGCCATTATGGGGCTAGGAAGAAACCTGGCATAGAGAAATCCCCAGGAATCCACAAAAAAGACTCCAGCTAAGGCCCTAAGCAATTGTGGAGAGGGTGCCTGAACTGGCCTTGCCCTGTAGACAGACCTTCATCCAGCAACTGATGGAAGCAGATGCAGAGATCCACAGTGGAGCACTGGGCTGGGCCTGAAAAGTCCAAATGAAGAGAGGGAAGAGAGCTAATACAGGCATAGGGGTCAAGACCATGATAGGGACACCCACTGACACAGCTCACCTGAGGTAATGGGAGCCCACCTACTCTTGCCAGACAGCAGAAGAGCCAGCATGAGAGCAAACTAGTCCCTCTGAATGTGGGTGACAGTTGTATGACTGGGGCAAACTGTGGGGACACTAAGAGTGGGACAAGGATTTATTCCTACTGCTTGTACTGGCTTTTTGGAGCCCATTCTTTTTTGATAGATACCTTGCTCAGCCTGGATATACTGGAGGAGGGCCTTGGTACTGCCTTAGGGCAACGTGCTAGACTTTGATGACTCCCAGGGGAAGCCTTGCCCTCTCTGAGGAGTGAAAGGGAGGTAGAGGGAGCGGAAGGAGGGGAGAGAGTGGAAACTGGAATTGATATATAAAATGAGAAGAAATGGTTTTATAAAACATTAATTAATTGATTAATTAAAAAAGAAGGGGAAGAAAATGTAGAAAGTGACATTTCAGGGAGCTAAACCCTAAGCAAACTAACTACACAACACAAATATCTGTAACCTCCATCAGCCACATCCCGTGAAACCAGAAAACCAAAAATTACAACATCCACAAAGCCTATTAGTTGCAAAAAAAGAAAAAAACCCTATTTACAAAACAGAAAGAAATGTTAACTAAAATTATCCAGAGAGTTCAAAGGACTGAAAAGCCCATGTGGATGCTTATTTTTCCCTACAACAATGTCATATAGTGAAAAACAGATATTTATGCAGAGGCAGTATTTCGTGTCTCCTGGATTATAAAACTACATTAAAAACCATGCTATGAGACAATATTAAGCTTGCTATTTTGGTCTTTTAGAGAAGAAAAAGAGAGGGTTTCTTGGTTTTTCTTTATTTGATTGTGTGTGTGTGTGTTCATATAAAATAATGGCCATGTAGGACACCTATTTTAGAGCATCCTGTTTTCATGTTCAACAGTCTAATATCAAAACTTTCTGTCAGTATACAAAATTAACTACAGCAAAAGAAAAACCTGTCTCTAAAGTACTATATTTTAGATGATGCAAATAAGCCTCAACTGGAATCCAGTTTCAAAGTCAGCTGTTACCAAACCCTCAGAGGCAGATTTCTCCCTTACATCACGAAGCACAGACAGCATCTCTGTGGACAAAATGATGATGTCACCTATTAAGATGCACTAATAATTTCAAAACCTGATCAGCCGCTTAGATACTAAATTCTAATCTTCATAATAAAAAAATTTCCATATTTAATCTCGTAAATAGAATGCGTCATTTCTATTCTCTTACCTTATGTTGATCTAAAGTATGACTTTGAGGGATTTGAGAAATATGGAAATCTAATGTATAGCACCTTAGAAATCCTTTTAAAAAGATCAAAAAAAAAAAACCCTGAAATTCAATGCAAACGTGTCCTTGTGTGGGTTACTCCTGGTTTGAGCCTTCCATAAACAGTAGAGAAATTCCCTTGGTTATTATCTCGTGATAAACGTCTTCTAAAGGCAATTAGCTTTGTACTCACACATTCTGTAGCTGTGACTGTTAAGGATCTTGAGATGGCAGACTTCCCATCATTAAAGCTGATGGAAACTTCAAGAGTTCTACAAAAAGAGTGAAGAAGCAATCATTAAAAGTCAACTAGGCGATGTTGACTACTTAATCTTTTCCACAGCTCTTTAAAGCAATCAGTACGTTTTCACAGTTTTACAGCTGGGGTTCAGGAAACTAAATGCTAATTGCTTTAGTAAAAAGTATTGAATCTTGGCTTCTACCTGATTAAGAACCCTTTCCCTCACACCACTGAAGTCATGGTGCCTTCTCTCAACATGGTAACTTGGTTCAGATCCACACAGGGCTAGGACCACAGAGAAAGACAATTCTGCTAAAGTCAAGCTAAGATCTTATTCAATACTCTTATTAACACTTCCTTATAGCATGCCCACTTCAAGAAAAAAAAAAAAAAACTCTTTAAAAGAAGAAAAAGTTTAGTTAAAACCAGAAAAGAAGGGAACTTTTGAATTTAACTGAATTTTTGCACTATTTCAAAATAGAATGCCAAATGGTTTATTTTGTTTTAAGTTAAACCAAATTCCTTATTCTGCAGAACTTGGTATTTCGTTTTGTCTTCATGACTAAGCATAACAGAATCCAAAACAAGCTTTCCTAATTCCTAGTTCTAGTACGTGAATGTGTGCAGTCATATGACAGGGCAGACATAGTTCTATTTGGGGAGAAGATAATTTTTATTTATACTAATATATTCCTGTCAGGGTAATCTCATCCTTTCCATTTTAAGAAGTCAGTAGCAACCGGCTAAAGTTGTTTGTGATCCAGCACTTTAGAGGCCAGCAGAAACAGTTACAATTGTAGCGCTTACTGAAGTGAAATAAAAACTGAAGTGAACACACCTTCCTGCAGAAGAAACACACGCTGAGAACTTAGTTACACAACTTGACTGTGTATCCACAAGCAACATTCTAGTATAACATGACCAGTGGTGAGTTAAATAGAAACAAGTCTACACAGATATGAAAACCTACCAGAAGCTTCTTTTTATATATGGTCTTCACAGAAACAATAAAGTGCACATATTGGTAGCAAGATCCAGACAGTACAGTTGATAACAGCACTAGTAAATTCAGTTCTTCCTATTAGGCCGAAACATTAATTCATCCATTTAATTCTCACAGTAGGCCACTGGCACTACTTCCATTCTGCAAGTCAAGAAACTGAAGTTTCAAAAGGTACCCTCCCCACCAGGAGGTCGGACCAGTCTGACTTTGTGATCCAGGAACCTTCACCTCGCTAGCATACCCTCTTAGTCCTCCACATGCATTTTTGAGACTTATATTTAAATTTATCTCATACACACTAGGCAAGAATGACTTTTCCAGATTGTTTGATAATCATATTTTTGTGGTTAACTACAGCGCATTTTTCTAAAACAAGGTATTTATTCTTGAATATATATTTTTGAATATTTATAGTTTTTGGAAAAGAATTTCAAAAGTGTTGCAAATATGAAAAACACAGTTGCTTATGCTTTTGAATTCCGTTGTTCCTTTAGAGAGGTCCTTAAATTCCAGATATGTATAGCATTGTGATGAACCCAACGACTGCCCCAAGCACAAAGGTAACTAAAGGCCACCCTCCAGCCTAAAGTCAATACTTGGAGCTTTGTTTGTCCTAAGACTGCAGTGTATATAGTAATTGTTTTCAGTTACATTTTATGTCATTTCTCTTAATTCCAATGCATAGCTTACTCCTATCCCTATGTAACTCCTACTTCTGGTTAGAATGCTTCTAATAATGGAGTACAGATTCTCGGTTATGAGATCTAATGATGGGCTGAAGCATATTAAATAAATACTGTGTTTACTTAATTCCAGAGAGAAATGGAAGGCAATGGGACAGTTCATATTTATTTGCTGATATGTGAACACAACTCTCAAAAGCACTCATATTTATGACACGTGTTGGGCAATCTAAAGTCAATCTTGGACATATGTCAATCTCATACTAATATTCCATTCCCCAGCCTGCAAAACTGTGGAAGTTATACCTATGCCAGAGTTGTTCCAGGAAGGGAACTTCGGAAACACATAGATGTTCCTCTTAACATATGAATCTCAGGAGCCATATGAAGCTTTGTTATAGCCAATGAATTTATTAAAGGACTTTCAGAATATCATGGTTTTTACAATCTTATAACAACCATTCTAAAAAAAATACTAGTATAAAGAATAAAGAATATATAACCAGAATTAGGCATGCATGCAAGATATTTGCCTAAAGAATTATTATTCTACTGACACAAAAATATAGGCGGATAAACTGTTCAAAATTTCCTAATTCATGTAGACTTGTGTAAAGAAAGTTTGCAGTCCTATTTCCTGTTATAATACATCTTATTAAACCCAACATTATAGCTATGCTGAGCTGTATTTGTATATCCACACACATACATGGTTACATTAAAATCATACTTTAAATTGTTTGATACATGTTTGCTAATATCAATCACTCACTCTTTTACTAGTTAAAACAACCAAAACCTTTAAATTGACTAAGATATCACTTATAATTGCTATAGAAGAAGCACAGCCAAACTAGGATTTGTTTAATATGACTGTAATAAAAAAAAACCAGTCCCAATGTCACCAAATGGAAGATACACAAGAATTCACAATGGAGTGTGACTGGTATTATATGAAACAGTTATGAGCACAAATGTTCCATAGGACCATAGAGGAGAACATATAATTCATTCTTGGAGTAAACAAAATGACAAAGGTCTCCTGAAGAGAGTCACATATAAGACACACCCTGAAGAATGATCAGGAGTTCGAAAGTAAGATAAAAAAAAAAAATGGAATCTTTGTAGATGAAGAACCTGACAGGCTGAAAACCGAGAGAGGCAGCGGACCATCCAAGAAACAGCTGTATTTGCCAGCAAGACAGTACTAGAAAGCGGGCAGGCAGCTGTGGAATGAAAATGATAGTACCAGGAATGGCTGTGAGGTTTCCAGAATTCTAGCTCCAGGAATCTGGAAATAGTCTGAAAAGGTGATGGTGATGTTCTTAAAAACATGGTGATAATTGTGTTTTACAAATGCCATTCTTGTTGATATTACTAAGAATAGGGCATGCATCTGAAGGATGTATTTCTGGATTGCAAAGACCAATTACAACAGTCCGAGTCTGTTTCAGATGAAATCCAAAGGAAAATGGAACTAAAATCGTGGCAAGACAGACTTAAAAAAATGAGAAGATGAGAGCTCTTAAGCCATAGATAAAAGGTCACAGATATTCACAGGATGTAGGAAGCAAGGAAGAAAGAAAGAAGGTGATTTTGATGTTCCTCTGTTATAAGTTGGTTGCAAAGTCTTATTGTAGGGAACATAGGAGAAGGACCAAACTTGAGCTCTTTGTAGCTTCCAAGTTTAACGTACCTATAGGAAAGTCAGGTGGACATTGTAAGTGGATTATGGGAATTAGAACTACAGGGGAAGGTGGGATCTTGCCTGGAGCTTTGGGGCTGGTAGGCGAGAAAGGAAGCCTTTGAGAAAATTATTTTATAGGTCAAAAATGCAGCCATGATGAGAAATGACAGCTAAGAGCCGCAAGGAACAGCAGGACCCTGGGGTACCATCTGAAGAGAGCTGTAAAACATGAAGTCCAGAGAGTGTGGAGACAGTCTAGGAGTGCACATAATGCAGGCGATGCAGGAACACAAGGCTGAAAACACGATGTACCTGACTCTTGGCCATAAATGGAACAAGAGCTTAGTACTTCTTCTAGACTTCCTAAAGACCTGTTGGCACCACCCTTGAAACAGTTTTTCAAATGTAAAAAGACAAAAGTAACTTTTACAATGTATCACAAGACTAAGATTTTTTTAAAGCATATTTTCATGACCCCTAGCACTCAGTTAATGGCTGATAAAGCTAAATTTAAGCACACTAAATTCTCTGCAAGAGAAATTACTAAATCATCTTCTCGCATACTATGGACTAAATAAAATCAATTTGTCCTCATAGTCACAGTGCCTTAACACACCTGCAGATACATGAGTGTTCCAAAACAGGAGGAGAAGGGGACTCAGCGCTACACGTGAAAGCCACTCTGATCTGAGAAGTGCCACACTTCATGTCAATCCACAGAAACCTACTTGAAATGTGTGGACTTGCTGCCAACTTTATATATAAATATATATTCGGTAAAATATTTCTATGATCCATTAAAGAGAATTTTTAAAGCGTAAATGAAACTGTTAAAGGCAATTGCTAGAATCACTAAATAATTTATTTCCAATTTGCACACACTGAAAATTATACTGGCAACCACTCAAAAAGTTATTAGAATTGTGGAAACTTTGAATATCTGAAAGCAAGCACTACTATCTAATACTCTGCAGAGTGTTCCTTGAGGTTAAGCTTTATGAATGATAAAGGTTTTAATTTGAAAGAGAGGTTTCAGATCTGTGAGTAGAACAAAGAAACCACTTTTATTTGTGGGTACAGAGGTGAATGACTGTTCTATCTAAATGTGTTATTTAAAAATATTAAAGGAATTTTTAGTTAAATAATTTCTTTCTATGCTATCATGACATGTGTATATCACCAAAACAAAAACTACAGCCAGCAAGATTGACAGCTTCCAGGAGAAGTCAGGGCATAGTCAGAGCTCTATGGAAATCCTATCGAACGGCTCTGTCAATGGCTCCAGTACTGCACTAGCAACAACTCCCTCTTAATAAGTTGGTGAATTTTAGTAAAACACAAAAAAATAGAAAATAATAACCCCCTACTTTAAGTCTTTTCATAGAAGCCACACATGCAGACTTCAGAGATATCACGTTCGTCATCTTCCAGCTGTGAGCACACTCGCTTAGTCATTATAGGTGGTGCAACGATCTGTCTTACAACATAGTAAAACGTGGTTCTTTTTGGATGCTGTTCTTTCTTTCTTCTTAGTTTGAAACAAGAAAGAGTGAGTCAGATCCTTCCCGTGACAGTTCTTCTGATGCTTGGTGAAGCCACATGTTCATCACATGGGAGTCACGCCTTTTCCCAGTCTTGGAAGCATTTGATTTAACAGT